GCCTGCTGAGCTCCCGTTCCTTCTCCACAGCGCATGAGAGCCCAGGCCGGCACCCCTGTGGCCATTGAGGAGGAATTCTCTCTCCTCACCTGCAGCATCATCTGTCACCTCACCTTTGGAGACAAGATCAAGGTGCCTCACAGCCCCTCCGGCCACCTCCAGCCCCTCCCTGAGCCTCTCCTTGTCCTGAACTGAAAGCACGCCCTCCTTTTCTGGCAGGAGGACAACTTAGTGCCTGCCTATTACAAATGTATCCAGGAGGTGTTAAAAACCTGGAGCCACTGGTCCATCCAAATTGTGGACGTGATTCCCTTTCTCAGGGTAAGGACCTGGAGCCTAGACACCCCTGGGTCATTGGGAGAGGCTGGGGTGGAGGGAGAAGCTTCTTTCCATAGCTGCATTCTCATGCTTCCCGCCACAGTTCTTCCCCAATCCAGGTCTCCGGAGACTGAAGCAGGCCATTGAGAAGAGGGACCACATCGTGGAGAAGCAGCTGAGGCAGCACAAGGTGGGGACTGTGTGTGGACGGCCTCCCCTTGGCCCACAGCCAGTGATGCTACCGGACTTAGCATTGCTACTAGGAGGGTTCTTTTGCATGCCCCAGTTATGGGCCTGTTGCCACTCTGTACTCCTCTTCCCAGGCCAGCTGCTCAGCCCGCTCCTTTCACCCTCTGCAGGAGAGCTTGGTGGCAGGCCAGTGGAGGGACATGATGGACTACATGCTCCAGGTGGTGGCGCAGCCGAGCATGGAGGAGGGCTCTGGACAGCTCCTGGAAGGTCACGTGCACATGGCTGCAGTGGACCTCCTCATCGGTGGCACTGAGACCACCGCAAACACTCTCTCCTGGGCTGTGGTTTTTTTACTTCACCACCCTGAGGTGCGCCCTGGTGACAAGAAAAGGCTCCTTCCCAGCAGCCTGGCCAGGGTGGTGGGCACCCTCACTCAGCTCTGCTGAGAACTGTGCTGCTGGGGCTGTGCTTGCCCAGAGGGGCCGCGGTCTCCTCACTCAGGCTCACTGGGTCGCTGAGGGAACGGCTGGAGGCTGGGCAGCTGTGGGCTGCTGTGACAGGACTCCACCCGATCATTCCCCAGATTCAGCAGCGACTGCAGGAGGAGCTAGACCACCAACTGGGCCCCGGTGCCTCCAGCTCCCGGGTCCCCTACAAGGACCGTGCACAGCTGCCCTTGCTCAATGCCACCATTGCCGAGGTGCTGCGCCTGCGGCCCGTTGTGCCCCTGGCCCTGCCCCACCGCACCACACGGCCCAGCAGGTGACTCCCTAGGGTTGGGATGAGTGAGGAAAGCCCGATCCCAGCGAGGTCCTGGCCGGCCGCTAACTCCAGCCCCCTTCAGCATCTCCGGCTATGACATCCCTGAGGGCACAGTCATCATCCCGAACCTCCAAGGCGCCCACCTGGATGAGATGGTCTGGGAGAGGCCACATGAGTTCTGGCCTGGTATGTGGGGGGCCAGGGGCCTGCTGTGAAA